TTGTCACTAGTTTTCTTTAGGCCATAACTTCTCCATTTTAACTCCGATTTGATCCGTTCAAGTTGCGTTAGATTCGTAATTGAGTAATCTACATGTTCAAGCTACTGTTAAATATATTTTCAACTTTTAAAATTCGAGGTTAGATTTAATCTATTATTTTATTAAAAGAAATCTTGTTTAATTTATAACTTCTTCGTTATAGCTCCGATTAAAGTGCTTTTCGCGTCTGTGTGTTCGTAGTAACGTATAGAACATCTTTAAAACATTTTCACTTGTTGTTTAATATGTTTGGTATACTATTCTAATGTAGTTCTGTTGTTTGCTTCGTGTATGATTGTATGGATGTTTGTGTGGTGCTTTATTAACATGTCCAGCCGGTGAGCTATACGTGGTGAATCAAGAAACAGATCTTTGAAGATTTGGACTAGAAGAAGATTTGAGTTTTAAGGCAAGTATAGCATGGGATCATCCTTGTTGTCCTATTCACCTTTAATCATTTAATTCATACTGCATATGTCTACCTTGACTACCACTAAGGATATCCTAGTCTTTTGTACTTGTACCTTGATACCTATAGGGTATTGCATTGGGTAGTATGATGCTAGTGCTCAAACTAAAGCCATGATCTTGTAACTTGATTAATGGAATATGCAATAAACACTAAAAGATGCTTTTTAGCAACATGGAACAAGGAGGCTAGAGCATTGGGCTATTTTTATGGTGCTCTAGATTTCTCTCCCTAAGGATTTATCTGTAAGTGATCATCCGGGACTTACAATATAGCTGTGAGGGCCACATGGCTCTAGCTTTAGCTCAGTATGAGACCTTTTCTAGCTTGTTAGAGGTTATCTTTATGGCGTAAGAATGGCTTGCCGAATCGGGTATAGGACAGCCTCTACTCTTACGTGTATAGCCGTGATGGAATTGTGCCATTCGACAGGGGTTCCTATATCTGTTTGCCGAGTGAATCTAATGGCCCTAACTTGTTCGACTAATCTTTGAAAGGTTTTATAGTGACCCCTGCCGACCTTCCTTGGTAGTGGGTCAAGATGTTGGCCGTCTCGGGTGAAAGGGTAAATCACGACTCACAGTGAAAGTATACAACATCTGCAGAGTGTAAAACTGTTATAACAGCTGTGTTCACGGTCACGAGCGGCCTTAGAACCCTTACGGAATAGATGATGAACACTGATGATACTGATGATAAAGATGCTCACTAATGATTATTGTTTATGCTATTCATTATTCATGTTTACCTGATCATGTGTTTACATGGGCTTGTGAATAAACTTGTTGCCAGCCAATTGCTAAAAGATGACTTATTAAAAGCTAATCGCAGTTAAATCAGTGTCAGTCTTTTGAGGCTCATGAACCCTATGTTATATTTGTTGAGTACGATATGTACTTACGCTTGCTTTATTTTTTTTAAATCTTTGGAAAAATCCCGGATGGGTACCAGATTGCTAGAGTTTGAAGAAGTTAGGCTTGTAATCAACTAGTCAGTTGTCCCTGTGGAACTGGAGTCTTCACCCGAAATTCGGAGTTGTCTTGCCGCTGTTTGCTATCTAAGGTTATATTGTTTATACTAAGTACGTTATATATTGAGCATTGTCTATTGATATTACCCTTATTTGTAGCTATATGTGAGATTTAACTTTCTAGACTCACATATGGTGTGTATCTGATTTTGTTCTTAAAACCGGGTACTACACAGGGCTGTCGCCGGTTTCACACTGGTCCTCCTTGGCGGCTTGCGCCGAACCCTCGCCCATCCCGTGAGGGTTCGCTTCCCGACAGTAGCCGTGCCTCCCTTTGGAACACTCCGTGGCCTCCAAATCAGCACCTCATGCGAAGATACCTGAAATGGGGGACAACTGGCAAAGAACACCCTCGCCGCGGGTGTTAACGTCAGTCACGGGACCGGTTAATTGATCCAAGGCAGGGGTCATGGGCCAGGGCCGCCTTCCCCCAACATTATTGTAGTTTGAAGTCTTGTTGATTTGGAGCCTATGTGTTTGGTATTGTAATGATTGTACTTTATCCCTTTGGAAAGTAGAAGTTGGAACCTTGTTTCATTATTAAAAAAAATAAATGTCAGGTTTCAATAAAAAAATTATACCTACCATGCACGTCCGCCATGTATAAGATCCATTCATATGCATATCTATTTTTTAGATCTAATAAAATATTTTACATGTTTCTCCTATCTTCCAAAATAAAAAGAACATATAAAATATATTTCTTCAAAATAAGAGACCAAAATTTTAAGCTCTACTTATGGACTATCACTCAATATTTTTATATTCCCTTCATCTGGAAAAAATAAAGATAGTACTATGTCAAAGTATCTTGAATTTGACCAAACTTTATATAAATATTGTTAATATAGGAAAAAAATAAATATCCTAATACTATGATCCTTCAACAGCATACAATAATTCATATAAGTGACTTTTCAAAGATTCGGTTGTGATAAAATACTATTTGAAGTTAAGAGGTGTTGAGAATAATGTCAAGAAATAATAAAATTTCTCTTAATTAAATGTAGAAAAGGTGAAATAAATTAGCCAAAATCAAATAGTATATCCTTCAATCTATACAACATATTACAAATTTTACATAAAATATAATTTGTAAAATTCGATAGCAAAAAAAGAAGAAGATAAATGCCGATCTGAACAACCTTGTGCACCGCAATAATTGTAACTGCTTGTTGGCTCGGCCTCAGCTCTTGCTGGAACCAGCACAAGCACCGCAAGTGAGTCAACTGTGGTCACTGCTCAGTTAATTAGCAAGTCTTCTTCCCAAGGCCCAAATGCAGAGGTCCGACATACTTTTGTTCGGCTCTCAAAAGAACATACTTTTGTTCTCATCAATCTTGATAAGCATCATCTACTATATACCTAACTAGTACCTGTGCCCTCTCCTTTCCTCTACTCGCCATCCCTCCAACGAGAGTGGCCCTCTGCAAGATTGCTTCAGGTTAGTGACTCTGACTCTGCTGTTTAATTCTGAAAGGTTTTAAGGAAGTTTATTTGCGCCAGCTGGATCACCGTAGTTCTGTGTTAAATCTACCAAAATCTAACCTGGCGACTTTGTTCTGTAAAGTATTAAGTATGTATGGTCGGAGCATATATGCACATGTGGATGTTCATCACATATCGCTAGTTGTTCGTGCTCAGGTACTCTTGTGGTGCCCATCGGACATCAGTGCAAAGGAGGTCGATTCTTGATTGGTGTGGTAGAAAACAGCAAGGTGACAAACCAGTAAAACCTTTTCGTGATGCTATTTTACTACTTCCTCTATTCCAAATTATAAAACGTTTTGACATTTTTAGATTCATAATATTTGCTATGTACATAACATATATTTAGGTGCATAGCAAAAGCTATGAATCTAGAAAAGCCAAAACGTCTTATAATTTAGAATAGAGAGAGTATATATTCTCTTGTTCAGACATGTTTTTTTTTCGACAAGGAGTAATGTTAAATAGTTGGTACTCTGTTTTTATTTTTGTCTCGCATATTTGGCTTAGTAAAGAAACATATTCTTTCAGTTCTCCTCTCCTTCTCTAGTATTCTTGCAGTAACATCTTAGCGCATGATTAAACTTACTCCGCACAATCCTGTCACTGAAGCCAGCCCACCACCACAAACAGCAGTCTTTAATTTCAGTCTAATTGAAGAAGTATTCTGAAGTCGTGTCTTTTCTTACTAGCATATATTTCGGTTCTCAAAGAAAAGCTTTGTACCAATCGTTCAGTAATACGTTTACAAAATATGGTATCAGTCAAGGTTTGATTATTTCCTTTTCATAGTGTGAAACTAGCTAGTCCTTCCTATGTTTCAGATGAAATTCCCGTTCTAGATCTGTGTTTATGCAAAGTCTTCCTTGATAACCATACTCACGGAATATTTGGTTGCTGTCCGCCGTTCCCTACCGATCCACTGTGTCCAAGTCATATTGGAAGTTGCCATCACTGAATTCTTTAGTGTCCAAGATGAGATTAACTATAATGTATAGGAACTACCCAATTATAATCTCTTCTGAATTTGTACTTGAAATGCCGGCCTTAATAAGCTGTAGAAGACAATTATTGCTTTAGGCCCTGTTTGTTTCCGCTTATAAGCGGCTTATCGGTGGAAATAAGCGAGAATCCCGCCAAACGCTTTGCTTATTTCCACCGATTCTCGCTTATGTGGTAAGCCGCTTCAGAGATTTGAACTACGAGAAGCGAAAAGCGAGAAAATCTTCGCTTAGATTATAATCCAAGCGTGTCTAAGTGAAGCGGAAACAAACAGGGTCTTAGTACCACACTACATGAACTCTTCTTATTGCATCATGGTTCATGGATCTTTTATACATTATAAATGTTTACATTTTTTTGAGTTCAGTGGAAATTCTAAGATGACAGCAGTGTTTGCTATTGTGTAAATATTGAACCATATCCTTCAAAAGTTTCTCTGGGTAAGTGCACAAAAATTCCCTTTGTTTCATCTTGTCTTTTAAATTGGCATTAGATGCTCTAAATATTTCCTGCGCATTCTCATACTATCATAATTTGTGTAACTGACATGTGCATTCTCATCCCACATGCTAGAGTAGAATAGATGCGGCATAAAGTTTGCACCAGAAAATAATGAATTGTGACCCTGTTTTATTAAATATGATAAAATGAGAATAATATGTGACTGTCTGTACTATATTTTTACACCTAATGTTTATATGAGTAGATTCAGCAAAAAGTTCAAAAGATAGGATTGTGTGAATCTAAAATCCACTAATTGTTTTTAGTACTGGAGGATGTATATTTAATTGTGCATTAGTGGCTCATTGTCTTAGGTCAGTTTCTTTAAAGTGATACTAAATATAACAGGTATATGAATTATGAACAACGAACGACACTGTACAAGGGAGGTACCAACAGATTTCCCATGGAAACTAATAGAAGACATTACAAATGGTTTTGCGGTGGAACAAAAAATTGGTAGTGGTGGATATGGGGAGGTTTACAAGGTATGCTTAATGATTTTTTCTTCTGTCTTTTCAGTTTCGATTTCCCATGGAAACTAATAGAAGACATTACAAATGGTTTTGCGGTGGAACAAAAAATTGGTAGTGGTGGATATGGGGAGATTTACAAGGTATGCTTAATGATTTTTTCTTCTGTCTTTTCAGTTTCATCTATCAATAATGAAGTGCCTGTAATCAAATATGTGAAACAGGGAGTGCATCCAAATGGACAAGAGGTAGCTGTGAAAAAACTTCACCACATGCCAGGATTAGACGAGGATCAGTTTCAAAATGAACTTCGAATCCTTACTGGAATTTACCATCCAAACATTGTCCAGCTCATTGGGAAAAGCTACATAGAGCAAGATAGATGTGTGGAACACCAAGGCAGACTAGTGTTTGCTACAATGATAGACAGGGCAATATGCTTGGAGTTTTTGCCTAAAGGAAGCCTTCAGAACCATCTGTCTGGTATGAGGTAATTTTGTTTGGTAATTGGTATGCTAGTCAGTGTTGATCTCAAAAAAATTCTAGTTACTTTTTGAAGGAGAATATAATTGGTGGAATTGGATGATATATTGCATTGGGTCTCATGGGCTGATTATATAGAGTACATAGGACTAACACCCCATATGGGTAAACAATGTGGTACTATTCCTATTTACTCTAACATTTCCCCGCAGTAACAGCGGGAGCGCTACATACGGTGAGACTGGAGAAAAAGCTGACAACTTAACATCCCCCCGCAGTCATAACAGTCAATGCGCCGTGTATGCTGTAGCCGGAGAAGAAGCCGATGAGTCCTCATGCAAGGCGGTATCCCTTTGTGCCGATGTCGAGGTAGCCGAGCGTGAGGGCGCAATAGCCATGGTCGAAGAAGCCGTACTGAAGATGGCCGAGGTCGACGTAGTTGTGGTCGGGTTGCCATGTCGATGGAGCTGCAGGCACATAAGGGGCGCCAAGGTGATGACGGAGACGCGTCGAGGCAGTCGTCGTGGGAGTGGGCGATGCCGAAGTCGACGCAGCCAGGGCCGTCGTAGACGTAGAAGAAAGGCGACGACGCAATCAAGGCAGATGGGGTGGGACGGGAGGGTCAACGCCGAAGTCGATGCAGTCAAGCCACCTGAGCGCTGAGGCGTGGTTGGGTTTGCCAGACCCAACAACGCGTCAGGGACGAAAGCACGCGTCGGTGTTGCCAATACCGTGCGTACAAGGTAGAGGGCCCCAACCATGTGGTTGTGCTTGACAAAGAAGAAGCAATGCGGGAGAGGACACGTCGGCGAGCAGGGCTCAGCGACGACATGAGGGGGCGGCCGACAAGCAGGGCTCAGCGACGGCGCAGGTAGTGGTAGCTCGATGACGAAGACCCAATCAGCAGGACGAAGACCTTGTGCAGACGGATGGCGCAGCAAAGTTGCGCAGCACAATCATCGATGCACAGGGGACGGCGATGTAGATGCAACGGTGAAGCAGACACATGGGCGGCGGTGCTGCGGCCTGACGAGGCCACACAGCTGCAAGCCAGCAACCCTGTTACTCGGAGAAGATGTGCGTAGGACTCGGCGGTCACGCGGCGTCGCGCGAGGATGGCACAGATTGGCTGGCCACCACCATGGCAACTCGGTGTCGGGGTCAACCTGGCCCGGGCCACCACCACGGCAGCGTGGGATGGGGACGACGCCCAGCATCCTCCATTGTGAGCGCGGTGAAGGCGACTAAGGTAGCGCGACATCGCGAGAAGGCCCGAACTGCTGCTTGACGAAGACGAAGATGGCAGCGGGATCAATAGAATCCGATGCCTAAAGGGGTGGCGCTGCCCCCAGCGGAGATCGATCTCTCCCCGGGGGCGTGCGGTGCGGAAGCGGCGGCATCTAGGGTTAGGATATAAACCTTGACGAATGATACCATGAAGGAGAATAGAATTGGTGGAATTGGATGATATATTGCATTGGGCCTCATGGGCTGATTATATAGAGTACATAGGACTAACACCCCATGTGGGTAGACAATGTGGTAGTATTCCTATTTACTCTGACACTTTTGATAGAATAATTTTGTAAACATGTGTCATCATTTGTTTTCGTTTATAGATGAACGGTTTGGACTTCGTTGGCATCGTCGCTACAAAATAATAAAGGGGATTTGTGACGGATTGAAATACCTTTATGGAGAAAGAATTTTCCATCTTGACCTCAAACCTTCAAATATATTGCTTGACAAGGATATGGAGCCAAAAATTGCAGACTTTGGCTTATCAAGGCTCTTTAGTGGAACTCTTCAATCCCATATTACAAAAAAGCCATCTAGGGACTCTGTGAGTTAAAGGACTCATTCCTTAGAGATCTGTTAGTTTTTTTTTGCTTTTGACATATTAGTATGCTTGCATTTGCGCTTACACATGTGATATTTACGATATAGAGAGTTTCTTTATGATTTGGAATATTTAGTGGAAACCACTTAGTTGAATCATGGAGCCCCTCTAGAAAAAAAATAGTCTCAAAGTTTCCACAAAAAATTCTCAGGAAATTCACATATGGTAAGTTGGATTGGCCTGCATATGTATAAAATTTCAAGTCCAAACATCTATATTTGAGAGCATCAAAACATGGAAGCAATGCATTTGCTCCATTTTATATATTTCTACATGATTTGTCAAATTTATATTTCCTAAAGGGAGTCAAGTTCGCACTTGAACTTTCTTTGGGGAGAGGGGATGAGGAGACGGGGCCCATCCATGTAAGTAGATCCAAGTACATTTTGGGGGCTTATGACAAATGAAACATCCAACTTGTCCTCTGGCTTGGGAAAAGCCTCCTTGACTCTGATGGCAGGTCTCCCAACTTTGTTGCCCTAGCCATCTTGCTCCTATTTTTTCTTCTTTATGGTGGCATGACTGGTTATGGCATTGTGTCAATGGCAGCCAAAGTTGTTGGAGGAATCCATTGGAATAATTGTCCTCTAGCTTTTTGTATGTCTCGGTGGTGTTCCACCTAGCATTATTGAAGAGTTTGAGAGTTATTTTGCATTAGATCTATAACTTCAGTTGAAGTCTTGAGCATTAGATCTTAGCAGCTATTGTTCAGATGCGGGTTGTCCAGTGCTTCAACCTTGATTGGTGGTGGCACAAGGTTGTGATATGCATGGAGTGAGGAGAAGAGGAACGATTGGCTTGGCCTGTCCAGCGATTTGTATGGGTGAGGTATTATATTTTTGGTTTGTGGTGTAGGAGCGTTGCAAATATCAGCTGATGCTCCTCCCCCCTCCCCTCCACCTCCCCTTGAATCTACTGAATGCCCATAAGCAAAGTTATGTTTCTATACTCATGGATGGGAAGTCTCCAAAAGCTATTTTTAGATTAGGGTTTATCCAATTCTATATTTGCTCTGTGGGTTTCTTTGCCGCTATAGGCAGCAACATTGATGGTGATAGGGAATTGGATGAATTAGCAATTGTGGTTGAATTAGTGAAAATGACATTATGAACTTGATTGCAGTTTTCTTTTTAATGGGTACTTTTCTGTAAATATTAGAAACAGTTGCCTTTTGGCCTTTTCTAGGTACTGTTTTCTATTTTTCTTATTGTATATCGGAAAAGAGATTATCTTCAGCCATCTTTTCTATAAAATAAACTAATGAGGTTTACATCACTCTTACTTACAATGTGATGCTTCAATATATTTCAGCGGTTACGCGCCACCAGAGTATGTAGATATGGGGAAAATCACAAAAAAGTTTGATGCATTTAGTTTGGGTGTGATAATCATAAAAGTATTGGCAGGACCTGATGGTTACTCCACATATTATGATATGCCAGATTCCCAAGACTTCATTGATCTGGTATGAGAAGTCATTTCCTATTATGAGGACGACAATGGTCATTTTCTTGTAGTTTTGGCTCCTCATGTTTTTATAGTCAGTCAGGTATGGCATTTCCTGATTCACATCAGTTGCAGGTTCAAGGAAACTGGAGAGAAATACTACAAGAGGCAGGATGGAAAGATGCATCATATTTGGATGCGTATTGCAACCAAGTAAAGACTTGCACTGAGATCGCACTGAAGTGTGTGGAATCCAGCAGCCACAAAAGGCCCAGTATAGAGGATATCAGCACTATGTTAAATGAAACAGAAGAAACTATTGACAAACTATACCAGCAGCTATTTGTTGTCGAGCCTTCAACTCTCTGCTTCCCCTTCGAACCAGATAAGCTGATTTCATGCCCAGTGCAGCTAACCAACAATGCAGATCATGATATTGCCTACAGGATTCAACCAAATACCCCAGATATCTTCGTCGGTTCTTTCAATGGCTTTGTGCCTGCAAGATCCACTAAGACCTACGTTCTGAGGATGCAAAAGCAACAGAAGCCACCCCCAAACCTGGATACAGTTCATATCCAGAGCGTTGCAATCAACTTGGACTTAAGATGGAACATTGACGACACGTTTAACAAAGCAGAAGCAGTTCATGATGTGTTGAAACAGGTGAAGACATCGAGCCTTTATGAGTGTGCAAGCCTGCTAGCATCCAAGGTGTGTTCTGAAAATTCTCTGTATATCTTCTAGAAAATATTGATTGCACTATTTCCAGTGATATTATGTCCCTTGGACCACTACGTAAAAAACGATTTTTAGCAATAGGACAAATTTTTTGTAGGGGCGGCTGGTGATGGAGCCGCCCCTACAGTGGCGTACTCGGGAGCCCAGACACTAGCCGCCCCTACAAATGGAACAGCAGGGGCGGCTGGTGATACGAGCCGCCCCTACAAATGGGTCTGATTTGTAGGGGCGGCTCACTCACCAGCTGCCCCCGGCGTTGCTATTTGTAGGGGTGGCTGGTGATTGAGCCGCCCCTACAAATGCCCCCGTATAAATACCTTCGATTTGTAGGGGCGGTTTAATCACCAGCCACCCCTACAAATGACCCACATATAAAACAGCTGCAACACCTTCTTACTTCTCGGGTCACTCACTCCAACCCATGAAAGAAAGGTGGGGAGGCCTTGGGCACCTCCCAAAAATTACTCTACTAAAGGGGGAAGGTTTTGGTCTCAAATCCTTTGGTGAAGAGGTTGTAGAAGGTAAGAAATGTTATTCCACATATTTTTTTGAAGTTTTAATGGTTGATTAGTGAGTAATTAAAGTTTTGTTTTTCTCTCTCTTCTATGGTGCTTGAGCTACTTATAAAGCAAATTAGACCCAAGTTTTAAATGTACTAGGGTAAATTAGGGAAGGGAACAAGATCATACTCTTATTTGGTCCATGTTTCTTAATTTTAGTGAATAATTAGTTAGTTTTATGCGTGTTTCATGTGCATGTAGATCTAGATCTAGGGTTTGTTTTTTTTATTAATTTCGTTTTTGTAAATTTATGTTTGATAAAATTGGACTAGGGTTTGTATGAAAGATATTGGGTAAAGTATAATTGTTGCTAATTGTTGTCTTTGAAATTGTTTATTGTAATCAATAAATATGTATTTTAATTATTTATGAATAAATGGACCATTAATTAATTTTCCTCTACCATGGTGTGTTTGTATGCTTCATGTAATTATATTAGATTTATATTTATATATATCTGAAGTATATACAATTATTCTCAAGTAATTATTAATTTGATTCATTTATATATATATATCTGAATAAGTAGTCGTTTAATGTTTGTTTTGTTGTTGTTGTAAAAGATGGAGTACAAGAACTCTTAGATGTATGGTTCGTTAAGGTTCCAGGCAGGTTTCTGTGAAGAAGTGGATAAATTTATTGAAGCCGCAAAGAAGCATGCAACGACATTGAAAGAGAATAAGGATACAATTATTTGTCCCTGTAAAGATTACAAGAACCTTATGGCATGGACAGATGTGACTATCATCAGATTATATTTGATTATGCGAGGATTTGTTGAGGACTACACAATGTGGATTCATCATGGTGAAACGGTTATTGTTAACGACAAGGATGAGGAGGAATACGACGACGAAACCATAGAATCCCTGTCCCAATATTCAGCAGAGCTGCATGAATGGATTTCCAGTTTGGCAATGAACAAGGTGGTGATGCTGGTGGTTGGGATGGTAACGACGAAGGTGGTGCCAATAATGATGGTGGAGCACGTGTCGGGGATGAAGATGATTTGGAGG